ACCTTTTTTATCTTTTATTATGTTGGTTTTAATTTGAAGACTAAAAGTCTAACTTTACAATGATCATATATTATTCTTGTCATACACAATTCCAGAGGTCACTTCTGATGCGTCGTTTGTGAGTTGTAGTCGTTTTCTACAACAATTATGATTTACAAATGTGGTCTTTCGTCGAGATCCTAGTCAAAAGTCATAGTCATTATTGTTGTGTTGTCTGTTTAACCGACAATAGAATACGTAAATGGACATTAGGTTGATCTCAAATTACACTTTTAGCCCTCAAATTAACATCAACATGACAAAAAGTCAAAAAAGGACTATTTATAGAAAAGTATCCATAAAAAAGGATCACATGGATAACATTTGATAATAGGAAACTAAATATGGAAAATTCCTTGTTATAAAAGATCAATTATGTAACTTATCTAGTTTTTTATCTTCTTAAACTCCTCACCCCAGCCTCTCCCATAGGCCTTGGCCCTATGCCCCTACCCCAGACCCCCTCCAAATGTGTACTCCGTATTACATAATAGCCACGCATTCCTTTTAAATTGAGCGCTACAAGTAATATTTCACATCGTCCTTATATTGAGTGACGTATATTCATGTTGTCTTGACGGACAACACAACAATAACAATAATGACTATGGATGTGTATTCAGATTCCAACCCGAGATAGATTATAATTGTAGTAGAAGCCTATACTCTAGTTGATAAGCGACGAATTAGTAACAACAGTGCATTGAAAAATATACTAACAAAGGTATAGATGGAACATTTGACAATGTTGTTACAGGTACGAGGAGAAGTTGCCAGGAGTGGACATTTTCGTGTGCACAGCAGACGCCAAGTTGGAGCCGCCATTGCTGGTGATCAACACCGTCTTATCGGTACTGGCTTACAACTACCCGCCGGAGAAGATGAGCGTTTACCTGTCCGACGACGGAGGCTCGGAGATTGTTTTCTACGCGCTTCTGGAAGCTTCTAGATTCTGCAGATGTTGGATCCCCTTCTGCCACAAGTTTAAGGTGGAGCCAAGATCCCCTGATGCCTACTTTGCCCAACACAATGACAAAGACAAAGTTGTGTTTTCACAAGATTGGGCCAATACTAAGGTAATCAATTAAGGTTTGTGTTTAATTTTTTTCTCCTCTAATAGAATCTTAGGTTAAATTTTGGGTCCGTTTGGTACAGAATTCATGAAATTGGAATTGAATTGGGAGTTCAAATTCTATGGAATTGATTTGGATGGAATTAAATTCTCCAATTTCAATCCATTTTTGGTATTACCAATTCTAAATACACATATTTTTGTGTTACCAAATAGAAGAATTGAAATTCTTGTCCTCAATTTCAATTCTGAAGTCTGTGTACCAATGGGAGCCTTTCAGTTTGTTTTTTTATCCCTATAAAATGAGCGGATTTTGATTTCGGTTCCTCTGAAAATTTTCTCAATGAACTCATTCTTGTAATTTTTTTTCATCCTCCCATCAATCTAGATCATATATTGGCCATGTTTTTGGACATTGTAAAATTCGCGAATTTTGTTTTTGATCTCTCTAATTTTTCTTAACGTGACGAATATTGTTTTTGGTCCCTAAAACATGGTCAACATATGGGGAGAGGACCACTTGAAAAAAATAGTTTTAATAGGGATGTGTTCATTAAGAAGATTTTTATAGGAACCAAAAGTAAAATTCATTTATTTACAAGGATAAAAAGTATATTTATTCCTATAATCGTTCATAAAAAAGTGGTTTGACTTCAGAAATAAAAGTGACACACTAAGTTGCACCAAGACGAAGACAGATCGATACTTATACGTGTACAGGGTCGGAAACGTAGAAACACTAATTTTTTCAATTTTCGTAAAAGATTTGGGTGTGAGAACTTCCATAAGTACCCAAATAGAAACGCTTCGGGGATACGAAACAACACTTACTAAAAAAATTTGTGCAACATAAGTGGCTCGGGTCGGTGTGGTCTCAACCTTGATTCCCATTTCAAAGAACATTGGAATCGTATTGGAACCGGTAGGGTGGGAGGGTATCGGTCTGGTCCTACCGGTATCGTAGGGTAGGACCACAAGTTATAACATTGAAATTGTACCGGTCCAACCGGTTTGGTAGGGGTTCTAAATCATTTGTTGTATTTTGACAAATTTATTAAACAAAAGCTTGGTGTAACGTTAAAATTGTAACGATCCACGAATTTATAGCTACATTTTCCAATGGTAGTTTGTTTTTCTGTGCTCTTTGCTTCAGAAATTGTATGAAGAAATGAGAAGCAGAATTGAGGAAGCCATGGAGAGTGGTATAGTCCCAGATGAAATAAAGAAGCAGCACAAGGGGTTCTCAGAATGGAACAAAAATACCACAAAAAATGACCACCACTCAATTGTTAAGGTCTAACTCAATAACTTCTTTCTTTTTATCCCATACTCCCTTCCCTCCTCTGTCTCAAAATGAACTTCATGATTTGACTTCGTAGAGCTTAAGAAAGGTGTGAAAAAACCGACATGGTTTTGCAGATTCTAATCGATGGGAGGGACCGAAAAGAGGTGGATGCGTGTGGGAATCAATTGCCAACCCTTGTTTACTTGTCGCGCGAGAAGAAGCCCCATAAACCCCACAACTTCAAGGCGGGATCAATGAATGCATTGGTAAGTGCTAGATAATCCTCACTTGTTGAGAGTTATGTTATAGTTTGATTTA